GAAGAAAGGGGATGGAAGCCAGTGACAGGGAATAAAGACTGTGAGTGATACAGAAGTCGTGAACATGAGAGCAAACTACTCTAAGTTTCAGAATTAAGAGAAGAGACTGAAAAGTAGCTTGGAAGCCAAAACAAGATCAGCAGAAGGTTTGTTTTCGGGCAAGGAAATCTTGAGCATGTTTGCAAGCAAGAGGCAGGGCACCAAGGGCAGTGAAGGGTCAAAGAGAAAGGCTTGCAGATGTGGAAGGGACAGGGTCATGAGCACTGAAGTCAGAAATGTGTTCCTCGGAAAGAAGAGAAGAGAGGGAAAAATAAATCTGGTATGAATAAAGAGTGAGCTGATGATGGATAGTCTAAATTTCCTCAAGACTGCAGAGCCCGGATAGATTGGGGTAAAAAAAGATCCAGGGAAAGTAGCCAGGATGCTCTTTCCAGGATCCAGGGTAAGGTGAGGAGTGGCTGGATTGGAATCATTGGCGTGGGAATGGAGAAGTAGAAGATAACGATACTGAAGATAAAGGTGCTTCTCAAAGGCAAAGTCAACATAACTTGGGGCCTCAATAGCTACAGCAGATTAAAAATAAAAAATGAGTAAAGTTTCAAGTTAGAGTGAGTGGAAGAATTACGGGACATCAGAAGGTGATAAGACAAGGGAGCTGATATTTCAAGAGAAAAGTATGTTTGATTTTGTCACATTAAGTTTGAAGTAATGGTGAGACATAAAAGTGAAAATGCTGACAATCTACTGTTTATTCATTCTTCATGTACTCAACCGAGAGCCTACCCTATGCCAGATGCTGGCCAGGGGACTGGGGAAACGGTGGTGCTGAAGACGCACAAGTTCTGTCCTCACAGAGCTTAAACTTTACACGGCAAGACAAATGGAGAACAAGGCACTGGGCTCAATCAAGTGAGAATTTACAAGCATCACAAATATCCACTTTTCAAAAAACTTTGGATTGAAAAAAGAAAGGCAAGAACCTGCTGCGGACCAGCCGAAAGGGAAGGCTCGCATTCTTCATTAAGAGTAAATGGGTAAACTATGAAAGCGTTAGAAAAGGTGAAAGTGATTCTAAACAAATCAGAAAGCTTTTATAAGTTGGCAAGGAGTGAGAACTAAAGCAATGTTGAACACTTTAACAAGTTGGAAACAAGGGAAGGAAAAAATAAGCTATTAATGTTGAAATAAATTTGGTTTTACTCTTCATCTGGGCCAATTTGGAAAGCTTTCTTTTGCCCTTAGATATATTGAAGACAAATGTGTACATTCTTCCATTCAAAGCCCATTAAGAATAACAACTGTAAATTAAGCACATCTACTTGCCAATGTGAACTCAGAAAAGGATTAAAAAACATGGGAGACCCATATGGACCCTAAGCAGATAGGAATAGAAACATACCACAAAGGATAAAGTGACATTCCATTAATATTTCCGAGCTTAAAAGAAATGAAACAAAAAACAGAAGTTCTCTCACTGGAAACTCACTACACAATGACTTTGATGTATAAAATCCAAAACCAAAGTAGAAAGAAAAAATTTTTCCGATAAATTATTTGTATTTGCATAGGATAAACGAAGCTATATAAACCAATGTGAAATGATTTTTTTTTTAAATCAGAGGCTTTATACAGGATGCCAAATACTAGAGTCAATGGATTAAAATGACACCAGTTGGTGTCCAGTATTGAGCCAAGGGCGTTCAGATTCCAACAGTTTGGTAAGAAGATACTCCTGAAGGAAAACTTCAATAGTATTACTCTTCCAATTTTCAACAAGTAATCACTCCCTATAGCTACTAATGCTTATTCTAACCTACTCAATTACTCTAAATTCTAAAAAAATTCTGCATGATCATACGAAGGTGGCATATGAAAGTTTCTCCAAGTCTGCTTCCAATCACACTGATTTAAAATTGTTCTGATGGGTTTATCTGGGTGTTTATAATGCGTACAGTATTTCCAGAGCTTTTAAATAAAGTCTACTATTTTTTCTCAGATACCACAAAGACTTTAAATGCCAGCCCTTTATTAACTGTAGTAAGCAGGGAGAAAGGAGGCATGTGTAAATGAAATCCGTAAGTACTCCAAATGCTCCTTTTTAGTCATTACCATTTAATTCTTCCCTTTTAGTCATGGTCTAACAGTTCCCCATTTCTGTCAAGGATACCTTGATCCTCAGGTTTGAAAGTTGGCAACCGTCTTGGCACACAATTATTGAAACTTTTTAAAAAACTTTATTCTAGGTGGAATTGTTGATTTGGAATATTGTGATGTGACCAGCATGACTCCATCTATTTGATGAGAAGAGCAGAGCCAGCGTGTCTGAGGAAGGGGCTGCGGGGAGGTGCGTGTGTGGTCTGAGTAGCTTGAGTCTTCAAGGCAACTGCCATGGTTAAAATCCTAGCTCTTGGCCATCTGCTCCTCTACCTTCTCCACATTCATTATCGCCTTGTGCTGTCAAACCACGGCAACAGCTGCCAACTAGAATCAGTCATCAGATAAATTCCTTCATGGAGGGGTCAGTAGGACCAAGAGAAATGAAGGAGAGGCTGGAGGAAATGGGAGGAAATCATGTCCAAATTATGCCACATGAATTTGAAGGTTCCTGAACCTCCTGGATTTATCAAGCAGGTGAGTACCATTAAAATCAATTGTATTTTGCTACAAGAATACCAAATTTCCTTCCTTCCCACCCTCCCCCTTGTCTTTTTTTCGTTCTTTTTTAATAAGAGGCTAAAAAGATGAAAAGGAAAAAGAAAGCAATCCATAGATGTTTGTTTTTTTGGCATTGGCACCCTGGACCAATTCACTAGAAATTGGAATTATCACAAGAAAGCATGTCCTTTCAAGAGATCATTTTCCAAACAAAATAAGTTACGAGTTTAATGGTGGGTGAAAAAGGAATATTTCAGATTCTTTGAAATATCTCAAGATTATTTTTCAAAAAATTTGGTTTTGGCAATATCTTCTACATACCTTTTTCCAACCATTTTTTCCTTCAGAACTATGGACATGAGAAGGAAAATTTAATTTTTTTCTTTCTTAGTCTAGATTTTCTAATCAAAGTCATATGAAAGGTACTTTTGAGAACATGACTATTTTTAAAGGTCTTTCTTTTTAGTTCAATTTAGACCAATAAAATTAAACAAGACACTACAATAAATAGATGTATGGCCAAAAGTGTGTGAAAAAGTGCTCAATACCCTTAGTACACACAATGACACTAGGATAGCTAAAATGAAAAACGTCGACGACGCAAAATGCTGGTGAGGATGCGGAGCAACCAGAACTCTCCTACGTTGCTTGTGGGAGTGTAAATGGGAAAGTTAGGCCAAAAAAAAAAAATCTATATATATACATACATACATACATATATGTATGCATGCAAATATATACAAATATAAATATGTATATACGCACACACATACATATATATATACCTCATTAAATAAACGTCTTCCCGGTGACCCAGTAAGTCCACTCCTAGGTATTTATCTAAGAGAAATTAAAAGGTATGTCTACAAAAGTCCTATACAAAACTGTTTATAAAACCTATATTCATAACAACAAGAACCAAGACACAATTCAGGTGTCCACCAGCAAGAGGATGGAGCAATAAATTCTGGAATATTCTCCTATTGCAATACCACTCAGGAATAAAAAAGGGATGAACTATTGATACCTGTGATGCCATGAGTGAACCTCAAAAACACGCTAAATGAAAGAAGACAGACAGAAAGGTAGAGCATACTGTATGAGTCCATTTATACAGAATGCTAGATTAGGCAAAACTAATCTATGGTGAGAGAGATCAAATCAGTGGTTGCTTCTTGAGGAAGGTGCTTTCTGGAGTGATGAAAATGTCCTGTTTCCTGACGGGGTGTAGGGTACATGGTTATATGCATTTTTTTTTTCTGTAACTGATCAAACTGTACACCTAAGATCTGTACGTTTTACTGGGTTTAAATTACACCTCAATAACAAATTTTTTATTAAAAAAGAGAATTAAACAACTTCCAAAATTTAAAAATCACTTTGGGTGTATTTAAAATAAAAGAACTTTTCAAGCAAAATGCCTTGGTTGAAGCTTGAAAATTTTTAATGCTTGCCAGATGCAAAGTTTTGAATTTTGAAGCTAATGCAGTGAATATTTATGATAAGAAAATATCACTTTATAACCAGTTTAGAATCATGGTTCAGCATTTAGCACAGTGCCCAGCACGTAGTTCCAAACACATGTGTTGGATGGATGAATGGCTGTAGTTTAAAAATACGCTTAGATTTTACTTATTTTGTTCTGCCAAAGAAGATGATGGCTTCATTTCCGACTCTGCGATTTTCCTCTGCCTGCATCTCCTCCTGCTGTGTATCCTTCCAGTTTTCTAAGCCAGTGATTCTCAACCTTAAGTGGCATCAGAGTCATCTGGAGGCCTTGTTGAAACACGGATTCTTGCACCCCATCCTCAGAGCTTCTGACTCAGTAGGTCTGGAGGGGACCCTAGAATTTCCATTTCTGACACGTTCCCAGGTGATGCTGATGCTAATGCTGCCTGGTTTAGCTGCTTGAGAACTACTACTTCTAACACGTCTTCAATTGTCAGAAGAAAGATCCACCCTTTTCCAATCAAAGATCAACCTTTCCAACTCTCTGCAGTCTTTCCTAACTGCCTTCAGCCTCATCCTCTGAGCTTCTATTACACTTCTCACCGATACTCCCCACTTGGTGTTTGGCTTATTCTCCTTTGTAGTTTATTCTTTGGAAAGAAAAAAATACCTGCACGTGTTTTCTATCCAGGTAGATGATAACTCCCTCAAGGTAGGGACCCTGACTTGAGTATCTTCTTCCCCTCGCACCTAGGACAGGCTGTACAGCAGACAGACCATCTGTAAGTGCTGATGCTCCTGCTGTTTACACATCCTTCTAAAGCATGTACAAATACTATTAAAAGCAAGTGCTGATTTTCAGACAAAAAGTAAAATCTTCCATGATGGTGAATTACCTGTCATTGGGGCATTGGCTTGGCAACGTCCAGTCGTGGTGAGGGTTAATGAGGAAACCCCAGGACAGGAAGACTGAGCTGGGCGTCAGAGTGCCAACCACCAGCTGGAGAGGTTTGCGTGAGCGTGCTTTACCTAAAGAGGCAACATACAGGTTAATTCCAGGAATATTTAGTCTATTTTCATGATTAAGGGTAAAATGCATAAAGATGTCTTGGCAAGATGATGAAGAGTGTGGAAACATCCAATTCCTTTTCTTTTCATATAGTGCACAGATATTGCTAATTCTTTGCCCATGAATTTAAGCATGCATCAAATGAAATATCCTTTGTGAGATTAATATGCATATGTATATCTGTACCTATGTTTTTCATATATGCGTAATTTATGCACATAAACTATGTCTGATTATACTTAGTTTTTATTTTCTTGTGGGTCAGGGGTGAATGTAGAGGTCTTGGTTATTACCAGTGAAATAAACACACATATACTCACTCCATTTTTTTTACAGACAAAAAAGCACGCTTATTTTTTAACTGGGACTGTAGATTAGTATGAAATAGCATCTAAGAAGAGAAAAGAAAGCTTACTGTCTAAGTTACAGCTTATATTCTTTTTTTAAAACCTATTTGGAAGAGTAAAATCCCTGTCATATCATTGCAGTAGGCATATTTTTTACAGTGAGTATCTAAATGGAACATATGCACACAGTTATAATAAAGCTGGAAGAGTAGGATGCAGGTGTTCATGGTCACACCGAGAGCAAAGTCCAGACTCAAATTTAGGTTTCCTGAATTGTAATCTGGTTTTCTTTTCATTGCATTATCGGCATAGCTCCCGATATATGAAGATAATCCCATTTAAAGGATAGATTATTCTTTCTCCAAGGAACCTAAGGCTTACACGACCATCAAATAATTATCTCACTAATTTTGTATCTTGACATAAAAATGATTACATAATTAAAATGTATGTGGCAGACGCAAATATAAAATGAATGGAAGCTGTCACATTAGTCGTTACATCATTCTCAAATGCAGATTCCAAAAACAAAAATTACATCCGTTGCCTGAAAGGAAAGGTGTGGTACCATATCCTGAGCAAGATGAAACAACTTCCTGAGCTGGTCATCACACAGTGAAAAATAGTTTCTGAGGCCAGTGTCATGGATGCCCCAAAATGAAATGAAATGAAGTTATAAAGTGCTACTACCAGGTAACCACTCTCTTGACTTTCCTTATATATTTTTGTGTATTTGTAACATCATATTTGCGTTAAGAAACAGTTCAGAGAACATGAAGCCAGAATCTCATGGAAACATACTTATGCTTCTTGACTTTATTTTTAAATATTTTGAAATAGAGTCTTGAAGTATTGAGAGTACATTTATTTTAAAGTGTAAAGAAAGCTGCCCGGACAACTATCATTAATAAGTTGTGAGGACTGATTCAAATTTCCTTTGCACTTGGAGATAAGAGGCCAGAAAAGGAATTTGTATTTTTCAAAATGCTTGACCATTTACTGATTCTCTTAAGAAAAGTGGAAATCAACAGAAGGAGGAGAGGGGAGGGGTGTGTGGCAACTGATTTCTGGCAAGCAGCCTGGACTGACACATCCAGGAGACAAACTACACAGCTGCAAAAGGCCCCCTGCTCAGTCTATTTGAGGGTCTGTATGCTGCTCCCACCCATTTCATGGCTTTAGAAAGATATAACAAACAAACAAAGATCCTTTTCTGTGTGGCATCCAGTGTACCGTGAGAGACAAGCATGATTAGGAAAGAATTATTCGGAGAACTGTTCACATGACAAAGTGAAAAAGAAAAGCAAACCATTGTGTTCCACTCCATCTACAGAGTGAGGAAGGTGTGGTCTCAGGTGGTAAAGCATTTTCACAGCTTTTGCTGGTGCCTCCTTAGAGCAATGGCTGCTTATTTGATCCGAGAAGAAATTTTAGTAGTAAAATTGGGACAATATAGGATTTTAGTCTTGCTTTAGTCATGTAGAAATCTTTCTGCTCATTTATTCGTGGGTGTCTGCTTTCCTGTGTCGAGTCTCCTAGCCCTGGGAAGATGGAGTTGCCCAGCTGTTGTATGAAAGAATGCTTGCTCTCTGTTTGACTCAACAGAAGAGGTTTAGAAGGGAGAGATCAAGAGTAACTGAAACCTAAGTTCCAATCCACTTTACACACAGATGAATGAGCTATGCTTTTGAAATGCAGACAGTCTCCTTCGGCAAAGGTTAGACATCAACCTTTGCCCTCAGTCTGAAGGCAGGGTAGCGGGCGTGAGTTCACACACTGTGTAGTGGAGACAGCCCACGGGCCGTGGCTGAGTCTCAATGAGCACACGTTACGGGCCAGGCCCTGCCTCATGTAGCATGTCCATGACCTCATTTAATTCTCACAAAGAGCCCATCATGCGGCAGGATGGAGGCACAGGGAGGTTCTGGAATTTGCCTGAATCCCTCCAGTGTGTGCGTGGGGCTGGGACGAGATTCCAGGCCGTCTCCGCTGCCCGGCTGGGCCACTTCACTAGCAAGGGCTGTCTGTCAACATAGCACATCTTCTGATCTCCATTCCTAAGGCATCTGTCCCCAAGGCACTGGGTCTCCAGGGGTAGAAAAGAGATGAAAAGGCATGGTTTAAAGTTAATAAAAGAAAAAAAAAATCAATGAAAATACCTGAGCATGATTTCTTTCGGTTTGGAGGAGGGGCGGGTCGCACAACTATCAGATATTTAGGCTCCGCATCTGGAAACAATAATAACATTATTCATCAGGAAAATGCTTTGAGGAGAGCAGGGTTCACGGCAGAACGCCCACTCCTGACTCAGTGCTCCCCGCTTTAGTCATCGTAACCACAGCACCGGCGATGAGGGGACCCGGGGATTCCGAAAGTCAATATCCCTGAGACAGTTCAGCCCATTAAGCTTTAAAAAGAAAATTAAATCCAGATTTTCAAAACCGGTTGGACAGGGGTGGGGAAGAGGTCTTAGAAGAATCATGCTGGACACAAATTTCATGCCACATTTCCCTCAACCCTTTCCCTGCGAAGAGATTTTTAGAAAATCAGATCCTATTTATTTTGCTACCCTTCTCCTCACCGAGGGTCAGCCTGATGCTTCAAAATTGGAGAAGGAAAATCACACTTGTGTAAGACACGAGTCTCACCTGTGGTATGAGCTGAGCCTGTCTACTTTTGTGGGAGTTTGAATATTTACGATGTTTTACTTATTCCTTACCCTGTTTGCCTAATTTCTCAGCCTATTATCAAATCCAACCAGTCATTTTCATGAACAATTTTTAAACAAAACTACAATATAAGGTGGTACAGTTTTCACCTAAAATACACCAATGGAAAATAAATTAAAAGAGAATCTTTTTGAAAAATATTTAGGTTTTAAATAAAATGATGTTTAAATAATCAGTATGTGGAAACTCAAGCAGGAGCTAACAATTTATCAAATAATCTTTTTTTAAATTGATGTTTTCAAGATGAATGGTTGGTTTAGATAGATGTATATACATAAGTAAGTTATATATATATATATATATATATATATATATATATGTATATAAGTAAGCCAAATACACTTCGGGCATACAAAATAGCATTTTATAAGCAGCTCTATTGAATTAATTGATTGATTGATGGGTATTATTTACAATATTTCTTCAATAACTTTGGATCCTGAAACCCACTCTACACCAAATTTCATTTGGATGCTGCAGTCAACCAGAGTTCACTCCTACTTGCTCAGGCAGCCATCACATCCCTGTTTGGTTCTCATTCTGGGTTCAGAGATCTCTCTTCCACGGGTTTGGAGCAGAGGCTTCTCTGCCCAAGACTTCACTGAGCTGACCTCATTCTCAGCCAGAGACCACCTGGCAATTCACCCACGTTTAAAGTCTGGAGCCTTTGTCTTTTTTTGGACACCCCACACAGCCCATCTGCTGTAACCTGCCAAAAGAATTCCCACTGCGTAGTGTAAACCAAGTAACCTCCTGAACGGACCTCAGACTTGGCCTGTTTAGTATGTTTGTGTCTCATGACCACCACACCGATGGAGGAGCATTCACCGTGTTTGAAAGCACATCTTGCTTAGTGGAGCTTACATAAAGAATGCTCAACCTACATCAAGTTTCCCAGCAGGACTACGTAACCGTTTCCTGACTTCATTTGGGAAATAGAGCAACATGGGTATTAAGAAACTACCATATATTGAATATTATCTATGCGCCGGATACTTGTTAAGCGCTTTACATTCTTAACTTAGTTACTCCTCACGGCAATCCTACCTGACAAGTACTATTATGCCCCGATTTGTGGATGAGGTCACTGAGGCAGTGTCAGCTTCACAGGCATGCAACATGTACAGTTGCGGAGGGTCCCGTGCTCAGAAGGCTCCCATGCTGAGTTTAATACCCTGCCGTCGTTATCTTGAAATTCTTAACACTTTTATCTTTGACTTTGTGTGCTGTACAGGCCGTCCGATGAGATAAGGGAGCATGTGTGTAAGCTGAGGAGCTGGGAACAACATGCTTGTCTACACGCAGCACTTGAGGTGCCCCATTAGCACAGCGTTCTGAAGGACCCAAGCTGCACAGGACTTCAGCGAGACTCAAAGTAGAACAAGGTAAGATATTACCTCTAGGACTGAGGGAGGGGCTGTGGAGGGGACACTGAGGCTCTGTGAGGTCACACTTCCCATTCAAACAAGAACTTGCTTCAGTGCAGAAAGAAGGCAACGGCATTTGAAGAAACACAAACGACCAAGGAATCTGATCCTATCCTTTCTTCCTCCTGTTACTTGTTAGGTAGCCAACCACTTACACTGAAAACAATGACATAGAAGGAAAGGGAAAGAGATTCCTTTGTTCCTTTTGTTTCCAGCCTTCCTCACTGATAAGTCGAAGGCAGAGAGTATTGGAAGAATGTGCTCGTATCAGGAAGTGAAGTAAAAAGTTGAGTCAGTTCTGTGTATTTCCACTATTCTGGTAAGAATGAAATGCATATGCATGCATGGACTACAAAATACAAACTTTGTAATGTCAGTGATTCTGTTTAGGCATTAAAGCCTCTTATATTTGTACTTAAAACTGGCATTACACAATATTAAAATAAATGGTAAAATTCATGCTAATAATTAGAAATTTTTATTTTTATTTACTTAAATGACATCAAATAGCAAATAAAATAATACCATGACAACTTGAGAGAGAAATTGTGGAAGAAAAGAAAAAATTTTATATTTTACTAACTTTAATCACAATTTTTTTCCTGGCTTTTGAGCCAGGAGCCCTGCATTTTTATTTTGCACTCAGCCCTGCAAATTCTGTAGCTATCTTAGCCTAGTCTCCAAAATGCCCTTTTACTAACTCTCCGGAACTCATTTCTAGAAAACAAAGACAGACCCCTATTTTTCTTAGATTGTTCTCCTTGTGGCAAAGTCCAAGAGCCAGCCTTTTATTTCCTTCCTCGATACACGTTAATTCAACTGTGCCTCAGTAGTTTAAAAAAACCTGAAATACTGGAAAAATAACATACATAGAAGCCAAAGATAGTGCCACAATCCAAGACATATGACTGGTTTTATGAGCAATTTAAAAGTAAGCTTGTTATGATCACAGTCATTTTGCATAAAGCAGAGGCAGTCACAGCCAATTCCAAATTGAAGCAGCTGTTAGGATCTGGGTACGTACGCTGGCTCTCAGTGCTCATTAAAACTTTTAACATTCGTGTATTTCAGCAGTCTTTGCACTCAATTGGGAACACAGACACGGAAAAATAAAACAACCGAAAAACAAGATTCTATTTCTGTTTTGAACGACGAAATTCTTTGTGGATTTGTAGAAGCCTGAAAGTATATAAGCTGTAGCCTGATCAGAAATTCTGGCAACACGTGCCAAAAGATCCTACGTCTTCATTTATAGAATGTATATAATTAAAATGCCGATTTAAGAAAATTTGTGTTCAAATGCAGGCACCTTAACAAACTTTCCACTCCTAGCAGTTAAGCCTGTACAATGTTGCAGACTAATTAAGTCTAATTTGCCTCACATTTCAAATGTCCTATGGTGGAGGTTAGGGACAGTTTGCTGTTTAATGAAATCCACTACTGAAATCCTTTATAAAGTACTAGATTTTTGGGTAATGCAAATAATCCTCCCATAATTGCTCTGTTTGATAAATCCCAATTCTCATATTTTTATTAGGGGTCGTCAACATTGCAAGCCACACTACTTTAGAATGCTGTCATGGGGAGGTTTATTTCTGCCACGCAAGTTTCCATAAAATAAACACAAAATAAGCCAGATGATCCTAAAGAAAATCAGGTAAGGAGCCTGAAAAAACCAAAACAATTTATTTACTCCTGCCGTCTTTTTAGCAATTTCAAACTGAATTTCTGGGCATAAAAGCATGGACTCTGGATGCTGGCATCAAACCCTGCTCAGCCAGTTAGTACGACAAGGCGAGATACTGAACGTCTGAGCACCTGAGTTTCCTCATCTGCAAAATGGGAAAAATCCACAGTACCTGGTCTCACATGGTTCTTAGGTCAGAGAGTCTTTTCATTTTTTAAAGCAAGCATACAGGTTCCAAAAAGCAAAACTTTCATTAAAAAAAATCATAGACCATACTGACAAAGATTCTCTCCTTGACCCCTAATCAGGCTCTTCTGAGCTCGTTTTCCAACTAGGCCCTGACTTTTGGGCTTCTGTCTTCATCTCTACATTGTGTAATTTTAGGAAGAATCCTGCTAAGACGGTTTAGCCAGAATCCGCCATCCTCCACATCTGATCGGGCTCCTCATCTTCCACACCCCCCGCCCGAACCCCGGAGATCTCTGATCACGCTGGCCTGTCCTCAGCAAGAATCCTCTGAGGTCACTTTAGCCAGAATCCCCCTCGCCCTGGCGCTTCCTCTCAGTAATTTTCTCTCCACTGACCTTGAGTCTGCCTCATGGCTGTGAATTCCCACTTTCCTTGTTGTATTCGGGGTGGAGCCCAATCTCTCTCCCCAACAGCAAGACCCCACTGCGGCGTCCCCACACCGTCACAATGGCCCCCCTTGAGTAAAGGCTTCCTCACCATCTTTAAAGGCCACTGAGTAATTTTTTCTTTAACAGTATTCACTCAAATATCAATGCAAAAAGTCCTAGAAAATACACTGACAAACAGAATCTGGCACACGTAATACAAAAATACGTTATGGCCAAGTGTAGTTTATTCCAGGAAGGAACATAAGAGGAAAAAAACCCCACAGGTGCTGAAAAGGCATGTGACAAAATTCAACGCCAATTCTTAATTAATAAATAAGGATTCAATGGACTACTTCCTTAACCTGAGAAAATTTATCTTAAAACCTCTGAACCACTTTTATTCAATGTACAGGACCCTACACATACTTTTCTATCAGGTAACTCTCCCTGGCTTTATCAGAACATTCAATCTTCATTTTTCTTTCCCCTCTTATTACTATATTTTTTTAAACCATTTTTCTCCATCGTGATTCTGTTTTTGAACCTACTTCAGCGTTTCTATTGAGCATCTGAGACACAGATTAGGAAGACAAAGAATGAGGTAATCCTCACTCCAATGGTGTGGGGGTAACTACATGAGCAGTGGGCTGGGAGCGTTCCTTCACGCTCACACAGAGCCAGCCTCACCAGGAGGGTCAGTTAGAACAAACCTGCCCGGGAAGACCCCTGACGGAAGGCTCTCGCGATGTCCCTTTCAAGGTTGCGGTG